AACTCCTTTACGATGGCAAAGATAGGTTTCTGCGCCATTTACGGAAACGTTTCCACACGGTTCTCGTGGGTTGAATCTCGCTGGTGTTGTGCACATTTTATGTGACATTTTCTACGAAAAGTAGAGCGACGTTATTAATTCTGGGCCAGTCATGCCCTCCGTCCACCCATTTCTGATTGCCTAATGGTGCGAAACTGGTAGCACGAACTTTTTGCCTTTGTAAAAATAGGCATCGAAAGCGATGGTTAGACCGCCAAAATCGCATGGTCTGGTGTTCGTATAAAAAAGTAAAAATAAAGATTGACTAAATGTTTAGTTATTCGTTTTCATATGCTTCATTTTGGTAAAATTTATCAATCTAGAGCAGCTAATATCAAATGGGGAAGTGTTACACTATTTATGGAGTGAGGATCACTACTATGAAGCCTTTCATGACTTGAGCTCCATCTTTCGGAGCTTCTGAAAGGCAGTCCACTCCGATACTCCTGTGCTGGCGCAAGCAACCCTCCCACCAATATTTCCATTGTGACGAAAATCAGAAAATGACTAACTAGCATGCTTCGTTGCTAAAGAGCTTGAAGACAAAGTGTACACCCAACTCCGAGGGCGGTTCATGCGAGGTGAATGGGTCCGCAGCTGCAGGTGACACTTTCTCCGCTCAAAAGTGCACGGCAAGAGTTCTAGAGGGCAGCGACACCGAGTGCGCTATCTTCTTCAGCACTTGCGTCGCCATTAAAAATCCGCAGTGAACGCGCAGTGGGGGGTAGAGAACAACGAAATGTGATATTACGCAGACAAGTAGCGCGTTTGGCTATGCTTAGGCGTGTGACAGGCCGCACAGTCACTGATACTCTAATCTCCCGCTCTCCACAGTAACGCTTTGAACGAAAACAGATGGCATAAACTTCTACACCCGCTCACCTTTCACAATGCAACGGGACCACGCTTACAGCTAAGTCTTGCAAGTTTGCCCATCAGAAGAGATGCGGCCTGTCACAGGCCTACAGTCAACAGACATACCAACGGCTTCATGAAGATTAGGAGTCGAGCGGCCAGGTTGCTTGGTCGGAAATCATATGACGTGACATTCTCGATTACAAGATCCTCCTCATCGCGGCTGCTCTTCTGGGAGGATCGTACAGGGAAGGGGGGAGGGCAACAGAAACGGGAACTTTGCGCATAGCACATGTATTGCGAAGTTTACGCAGCGCAGACAGAAGCCCGCTCGGAACGCGGTACGAGGGTTGAGAGATACCCAAATGTTCCTCTATAGTAGAAGCAGGATCACCTTTATGTACTCCAAAATAGAAGCTATCTGCAATCGTAACTGAACTGAGGAAGGCTTGTGCACTTCACGTCACCTCCAAACAGCTGCGAAACTTCTTGTATCGAGTCATCCGTGGAGGACTGCTACCTGTGGAACGGAGGTCTTGATCTGGAAGACCTCCAACATCGAGCAGCTCCGACAACGTCCAGCATATGTGGTCTAGGATATCACCTTCATCTGTGGTTCAGTATATCACCTTCTCTGCAAGGGCCAAGGAGCGCCTTGATGGGTATGGGCCGGAAAGTTCCTGAATGGGAAGACAGTTTTCTTTCCTGGACGCCTAGGACTAGGAAGTAAACGCTGAGAACTGTACAGATCGAACAGCTTAGAGGAAGAAATATGCTGCCCTTCATATCGTCGGCCTGATACACATTTTGGAAACTTCGTACTGCTCCAAGATTGGGCGATGGCACATTGAATCGAAAAACTCTCGCCGACTCGGAATCAAAGGGGCGTCGAGTACCTGAAGAATATGGAAATATCCCAATATATGCCAGCCACTGACCCTAGAACTCACTCGAGATTAACCGAGTAATGGCGGACGAGACATGGATGGAATATCCAATTGTTCCGCCTGACCTGAAACTCCTCGATTACCGGGTATGGGCGGAGCTGAGCGAGCAGGGTAGTCTACAGTGGCGGAGAAATCAGCGACCTCGCTGAACTCAGGCACCGGCGGAATTTCGTGATCGTGTACAATGTGTTATTGAATTTGATGGTGGAAATCTCCAATCAGAAGTTGATATGTGCAGCTTATTTTGCATTGAGAAGTCGAGGAATAAGTGCCTTTTTCTGGCTTCCCCCCTGTTATTCTGTGAATGAGCCACTGAGGATTTTGCGGATTATGTTCAATCTGGAAGGCTTTTCGGAAGTTCACCGATTACTTCTACCCTATCCAATACAGTTGACCTATAGTAAATGATCGTTTACCAATGGCACAAGCATCAAGAAGACAACAGAATAATGTTTATTAATTCCCCGATTATCTGTTGTAGTTTGTATAGTGTCAAATATATATATGCTCCACGTGATTGTTAACAAGCAGATCAACTCGATGATGTTCAGTGCTCCTGCTTTTGCTTTTCTTGCATTTGCATCATCGGAATAAAGCGTTTCTCTGCAGCTCCTCGAATTTCGTTGTAGAAGCAGCGCTTCATGTTCTCAAACCTGCAAATGGATAACCTACACCTTCGTTCACACTGAGAGATCCAGTTTTTATTCCAACGCAGCTTATCACATAGATACCTGGATACTTGGACGATCAACCGTTTAGAGGGTCTCATTAGATTTTTTTGATGGGAAAACGGAGAAGTGGAGAGACTTAGATGGCATACAAGCTTCCCAGAAAGATGTGAATGTGAAAAAAGCGAGGATTTGCAGGAGGCTCACGAGATCCTCGTCTTGTTCTCGTACGTATTAAGAAACCAATTGCAAAAATGAGTACTCTATTATACTTTTTTTGAGTGCAGGCATTATCAGTGAGGCAGCGTTCAGACTTCGCGACGGCAGCGCCTCGGTCGCGCGTTCGGCGCGATCGATGCGCATGCTTTCGACTGCATCGATCGCGTCGAACGCGCGACCGAAGCGCTGCCGTCGCAAAGTCTGAACGCTGCCTGCAGTCAGTAGGAGTGTGACGGCGGGGCGTGCAGCTGCTCCGCTAGCGCCTTTCCCACCCCTCATTGAGCGCTTGAAGCCGTAACGATTGAAAAACGAGCAGGCGTCGCGTCAAGATCCGCGCCCCTTATACACGCCCTGACTGACTTCAACGATAACGATTGCAGTTTCTTTCAACTCGTCTATTGCTGGTTAACAAACAAGGGCTCTCATAGTCCATTCCGAGTACCATAGCTCACAACCTGTAGAATGTCCCTTCGAAGGTAAAGACCATGACTACTTTACACGTAGGATCCCTTCCTTGCACAAACTAAGCCGAGTAGCAGTCGCATATGTTGAACCGTTTGTGCATCTCGAAACTAGGTGGCAAGACTGCCATAGGCGTGCCGTGGAGGTTGGACTCCGCCCACGGAGTACAGTCTCCACCCTTTTCATTCCATTTTATCATGGATGTACTCTGACGCCGTCTCATTCGTATGTGCGCTTTCTCGCCATTTCGCTATCTGTTTCTCTTTTGCACGCTTAGTATATCACTGCCGTTTCCTTTGCTCCTTTCTTCTCTGTTAGCTCAGCTGGCGCGTACTGTTTCTGAACCCTTTACCATGGTTTCGTAATCGCAAGTTGTGTTTTCGGAGACACATTCCTCGATAATCGGTTGGGAGGGGACTCATCTCATCCAAGGTATCTTATTTCTCATCTTTCCGGCTACGGTATTAGAAGGGAGGCACATCAATAAGAAAATCTCGAATATCGGCCTTTTCCTCCGCCCTATTCCTGTGATCGCGGAACCTGATACTGTGTTCTTAACTTTTCACGTTTAGTTATCAAGGGCTTTTTTCGTGTTCTTGGATTTCAGTTACCTGTCTTTCATTGTGTCGCTAATAGTAATGAATACATTACTAGTACTGGAAATACAATTCAAGATACGTATATATCACGGCGTTTGGTGTAAAATTCAAAATTTCATTTTGAAGTGGTGCAGAACTTGAGAACGTGCTTGCTAGAGAGTCTGAACTGGATGAGAAGAGGTTTTGCACCGGTTCGTAGCCGAATTTGCCCCCCCCCCTCCCGCCTCCTCTTACCACAACTATCTAATATCGTGTGAGATTATATAGCGAAAATCACTGAAAGGCAAATGGAAAGCAATTTCTCACCTGTCGTAGCATGGGGCATAACTGTAGTCGATCGGGGTGTAATGGTCCGGCCTTTGATCGCAGAATGTCAGAACTTATCGCCTGCCCCGCTGAGTCGCCTACACCACCAGCGAACAACACGAATGCCCAACTGTTATTTAGTTCGTCCATGATTTTTTTTCGAATAAAAGACATCATCCACGTGTGTCTCGCTGGCATCCAGTGGCTTGAAAGACCCTCTTTGAAAAACGAGTGAGTCTAAAAAACCGACAGCGTCGAATGAATGCATATCGTCTACAACACAGCGTCCAGAGAGCCGTGCTCTCGCGTTCGGTTGAGAGCTTTAGGGTGGGAGCGTACATGCGGAGTGTTAGTACTGACCATGACGGCGGATTCGTAGAGTAACATGCGTATTATAAGAGATGCGCAGCAATAATCCGGCTCCTCTCATCTCCATCTTCGGGCATGTCCTAGGAAAGTTTTCGGACAGCACGACCCCCTGAGTTTCCTGCTCTGATAGGTCCCCTTCAACATCCTTCCTACACGTTCCCTAGTGTTCTAGACTTTTCCCACAGTCTATTCACGTTTTTCCTTCAAAGCAATCACGACCCCCTTCACCCAGCACGATACGGGTCCTCCGCGGAGAACCCCCAACGCTCGACTGCTCTTCTCACGATCCTCTATACCAACAACACTCCACTAATACGCGGTAAATGCCGCGCTCACAACTTTGACTGTGAACGTGAAAACATCCTCTTTAAGACCTGTTATATGGACTGTTATACGGTAGAAGAAAACAGTGAAACAACAGTGAAACGACACATGTTCCAGCGTACAAACCTTTCGATGATCCATTCCTTGTGCTGCACAAAATTGCATTTCGGGAAGGAAGTCAATCGGACACGCGTCAGTGCCCACAAACATCGCTTCTAGCTGAAAAACTGTCTGATTGTCCTCCAGCACTCAGCAATAAGTTTTCTGATTGATTTCTTTGTGATCACTTACTATGCCATTGAATGTTATTCTATCAGGGTCTCATAGCTGAGAGACCTTCCTGGGAACACCGGACCCCAGGAACGTATCCGTATCGTATCCGTTAGTACGAACGTAGGATGTAATGTGGGCCAACCATGTTGCAAGGCAGGTGAAAGCGGGTTTCTGAGTGATGTCATGCGGGACATCGGCAACCTCCTCATCAGACCCCAGCTAATCTAAAGACAAACTGTCGCTGCACCTCTGAGGACCGTCTCTGCATCATGTGCGAGGCGAATGGGTCCGCATAGCAGCAGTACCGTGCCGCTTTCTCCGCTCGAGACAGCACCCGGGTATCGCTGCCCGTCCAAAACCAGCATACCGTGCCGCTTTCTCCGCTCAGAAGTGCATGGTAGGGGTTCTGGAGGGCAGCGATTCTCGGATGCTGTCTCACAACTCCGCCTGCGCTATCCTGTTCAGCTTTCGCGTTATTATAAAAATCCCGCTATGGACGCGCAGTGAGAGGTAG